ATCACCCGGGCACCGGAACTTCTCTGTCCTGGCAGGTGGTGTTACAAACTTAAGCATAAAATCTGATACTAGTGAGCTTCCTGTCAGAGGACAGGATTATTTTCTGGAGGGTGACATATTTTAGGCAGGATTGTGGGTGGGTGAGCACTCTGACCTCGCAGGGACTCAACCTAATCAATGAATATTTTCTTTATTACGTGTTTTGTTTATCTAGTACCTCCTACCAGAGCAGATGGGATCATAGCTGGAATTTCTCTGCTGCCTGACATGACACGTGGTCTGCCCAGCTGGCACTTGTCTCCTCAGCCAACCTTCACACAGCAGAAGTTGCCCGGCACCACTGGTGGTAAAGCAGCGCCTGCCCAGCTGAGCGCAGGTATTTCTCTTCCTCTCCAGCAGAGCTTCACCCCGTCTGGGTGGGTCTAGGGCTGTGTGAACTGGTTCCTTCTGGGTTGGGAAATGAGTGTAAAACTGATTTTGGTATTTGGTCTTAGGAACAGGAACATTCTGTCTGCAGCTTCCGTTACCTGAGAACGAGGGATATATTTACTGTCCTCTTGCCATTTATTATTAAATCATCAATGGTCTTAATGGATAAGCAGTGGGCAACTGGGTTCCTGAAATACCAGCTCCTCCTCAGACGTCCTCTAAATCAGACATTACCATATAAGGATGCACCCGTTAAAAAATGGCATTCTGTTTTCTTTGTGAAATCCTTGCCAGAATTAAGGATAGGCACTCAGGGATGCTGTTGTAAGTTCTCACTAATTCTGTCTTTCACGCTTAGAGGCCTCAGTGCAGTTGTCCAGTTCCACGTGTGGAGAACGGCCAGTGGCTTGAGCAAGCTGGGAGCTTGTGTGTTGCAGCTCTGGAATGTCATGGCCAATAGGTCAGCCACATCCTTTTGTGGTAACAGTCTTCAACAATCAGCTGGCTTTTAAATTATAGCCATGCTGAGTAAGAGCAAACATATGATTAGTAATTTCCTTATGCAGAAAATAGAATTAAATAGTTCCTGGCTCAAACACAGGGTTAAAAAAAAAAAATCATGCTTTTAGTAAAAAAGAAAATGAAAAACTGTCTTTATTCCTAAGCTAAAGCAATGGTTCATGGTCGTCTTCAGGAAATAGGCAAGAAAAAGATGGACTTGGGAAAACACTCCTAAGAGCCATCTGCCCGCTCAGTTGCTGTCACCTACGTACTAAGCTGCTGCTCTGCTCCTGAAAAGACGACTCAGGAGACGCAGAAACGCCACTAAACAGGGAACACACAAAGACAATGTGGTATCTTGTCCCTTGGAGAACGGGATTTGGTGTTGTTTATCAACAGTAAAAGATAAGCTCCTGATACATCAGAGATAACACATTTGTTTTGATATAGTCCTCTCACTTGCCTAGCTTGTTTGGAAATAAAACAAACAAACAGAGGTATAGTGTCTCATAATTTGGAAGTAACAAGTTCTCAGTGTGGATGAAAGGACACAGTGAGAAATACTGGACGTGCTTCTTAACCAGGCAAGATTCCCAGACCTGAAGAGTCAGAATCTTCAGGGTGGGCTTAAAATTTCTATTTTTCAGCCGGACGCAGTGGTTCACCCCTGTGATCCTAGCACTCTGGGAGGCCGAGGCAGGTGGGTTGCCTGAGAAACAATGAGATGCCGTCTCTACTAAAATTAGCCCAGCATTGTGGCAGGCGTCTACAGTCCCAGCTACTCAGGAGGTTGAAGCAAGAAGATCCCTTGAGCCTAAGATTTTGAGGTTGCTGTGAGCTATGACATCATGGCACTCTACCAAGGGTGACAATGTGAGACCCTGTCTTTTTTTTTGAGACAGAGCCTCAAGCTGTCCCCCTGGGTAGAGTGCCATGGCATCACAGCTCACAGCAACCTCCAACTCCTGGGCTCAAGCGAGTCTCCTGCCTCTGCCTCCCAAGTAGCTGGGACCACAGGTGCCCGCTACAACGCCTGGCTATTTTTTGGTTGCAGCCATCATTGTTGTTTGGTGGGCCTGGGCTGGATTCGAACCTGCCACCTTAGGTGTATGTGGCTAGCGTCTTAACCACTTGAGCCACAGGCGCCGAGCCGAGACCATCTTAAAAAAAATTTTTCCCCCATTTTTCACCAGCTCCCTCAGAAACTCTTACAAATGCTGTGAGAGGAAAGCTTACACAAAAGTATTTCCACTTCAGCAGGCTCCCCCGGAAAGGACGTATCAGGGTTCTAAGAAAGGTTTACAGTTGGTCATTCATTATATCCTTTGAGGGAGAAATAGCAGTTTTCTTACCTGATTCTATCTGCAAGGATTGTCATGTACCTGCAGTGTTACAAAAATCAGGGATAAAATTGTTTTCAGAGTATTGATAACTTACAAGAAAGGGCTCAGCACTTCATTTATTTTGGTAGAATTTCTCCAAAGCACCTCCCTGAACTCTCCACCTTTCTAAGTGACAAGTTGAAAGGTTTAGTTGTCACTTTGGTTGTAATAGTGGCAGGACACGTTGTGAGTTTTACTTTAACATTAAACTCTCCAGGGTCCCACTGCTTGGTTCCTCTTGTCTTGGGGTGATTCCAGGCTTCAGTCACTCAACTTCCAGCCTTTAGCTGCTCAGCTTTTCTGGAAATTGTCTCACCGTCACCTAAGGGTTTAGCCTTCTATTAACTTAAAGCTGGAAAATACAATCACAAGTCCCAGCCCTATGCCAGCCTCATGTGGGGACCTTGCCCAATCCTCCTGTCACAAATCCCTTTATGGAGTCGTAATAAATCGCAGCTGTACCAATGGGATAATCAGGCTTGTTTATATAGTGTGCCAAGATCCCAAGATAAAAAGCATTCTAAGTGCCCAGAGTTATTAAAGCAAACAAGGCAGGAGCCAGCATGTGTTACCAGAGGTTAAATATATACTGTTCAAGACCTCATTCTAAGATAAAACAAGATTTGTTTTCTTTTTCACAATTTAGCACAAGAAACCTAAAGGGCAGCACTCAGACAGAAAGATTCACTTTCTCATGCATTTATATTAATGCCTTTCCTTTCTCCAGTGGAACAAAGAAAGTTCTCAGGCCCACAATCCACCTGAGATACAGTCCTCTTTGCTCAAAAGGCATGTTGTGCTGCTAAGGGGCAGACGACACCGGGCTCTGCTCTTCACAAACACACATTCTGTGCTTTAATTTATTGCACCATTTTGAATGTGGAGGAACTTGGGCATGAATAACTGCCTGAACCGAAATTTAGGTGGAATCCCAGAGCTAACAGATCTGTCCTGGGAGGGAAAGGGGCTTATGACTCCAGGTAGCTGTGACCTCACTTTCACAGTTCACAGCAGAGGACGGTCCTTTGTGGTCCTGAGAGAGCTGTCCATCACTGCCAGGTCTGCCTGCATTGCCATGGCCACTCTCACTGCTACTCCCCAAGTAGTTCTTCTCTGAAGGATGCAAACTTCAACTCTGGAAAATAGGCATTAAGATGAACTATCTAGGCTCAGTACCTGTAGCTCAGTGAGTAAGGCGCCAGCCATATACACTGCAGGTGGTGAGATTGAGCCCAGCCTGGGCCTGCTAAATAATGACAACTGCAACCCCCCCACCCTCCAAAAGGCTGGGCATTGTGGTAGGCGCCTGTGGTCCCAGCTACTTGGGAGGCTAAGGCAAGAGAATCCCTTGAGCCCAAGAATTTGAGGTTGCTGTGAGCTATGACGCTACAGCATTCTACCAAGGGCAACATAGTAAGACTCTGTCTCAAAAAAAAAAAAAAAAAAAAGATGAACTATCTATTGGAAAAGTCTATTCTCTGGCATTTATCTTTTCTTTTCTTTTTTTTTGTAGAGACAGAGTCACTTTATTGCCCTTGGTAGAGTGCTGTGGCATCTCACAGCAACCTCCAACTTCTGGGCTTAGGCGATTCTCCTGCTTCAGCCTCCTGAGTAGCTGGGACTACAGGCGCCCGCCACAATGCCTGACTGTTTTTTGGTTGCAGTTTGGTCTGGGCCGGGTTTGAACCCGCCACCCTTGGTATATAGGGGGCCGGTGCCCTACTCACTGAGCCACAGGTGCCGCCCTTCTCTGGAATTTTTCTTGAGCTCAATGATATTATCTTTTTTTGTTGTTTTGAGACAAGACTTTCATTTTGTTGTCCTAGTAAAGTGTGTGGCATCATAGCTTATAGCAACCTCAAACTCCTAGGCTCAAGCAATCCTCTTGCCTCAGCCTCCTGAGTAGATGGGACTATAGGCACCCACCACAATGCCTGGCTAGTTTTTCTATTTTTTGAAGAGACAGGGTCTTGCTCTTGCTCAGGCTGGTCTCCAACTCCTGAGCTCAAGCAACCCACCTGCCTCAGCCTCCCAGAGCACTAGGATCTCAGGGGTGAGCCATCGTGCCCATCCTGATGTTTAATTTTTTAAAAAGAGGGAAGGAAGGAGGAAAAGAAAAGTTTCAAAGGTATTTCTCCAATGCATCAGGCCCTCCTAAATGGCTTTGGTTAAAACTCACCACCAGTAACAGTGTTAAAACACTTAAGTCTGAATTTTGGCTGTCATGCTTCTTCATTTTAATGAGATGGTCCCAACTCCCTTTACTTTTAGAAAAGAGCTTGAAAACAGGGGCTGTCCGGCCAACAGAATGCTGAAATTAAAAGTCTGTCCAGCCCCATCTCCCCTTATTGCTGTATATCTCAACCAGTCACCCAGCAGGTAGACCCAAAATTCAAGTCCGGCATTGCTTTTGCACCGAAGAGCCAACTCAGAGACTCCCCTGAGAGCTTATCTGCCTGATAAGGTCTCAAATTTTAGTCGCCTGACTTGCCACCTGAGTCATGAGCTGAGCTGTAGAAATGAACAGGTGCTCTCAGAAGACACCTCCTCCCTGTTGGAGCCCAGAGTCCAAGACCAGTGGACTTGCCCTCCCTGCTCAGTCCATCCATCAGTGTTTGCTGACATGGCTGTAAGTCAACAGGATCAGGGCAGACAGCTGTCGGAGATGAAGCAAGGACAAGGAAAAGGGCTTAATGAAATTTTATTTTGGAAATATGGCAAGAGTCTAAGGCACTTCAAACATTTAAATACATAGAAGACCAAAGTAAATGTGACATGGTATAAAGGAAATCAATCCATAAATACATAGAGAACTACACTATGTTTCTCTAGAGGCAAATATATAGCCAATTCCTCTAACACAATCCAACCTTTACCAATAGATGCAGACAGGGTTGTGCAAGTTATTAATAAAAATAGGGTAATGTTACATAGTTCTTCACGTCTTTAATTACTATAGAATATAAAAGTTGAAAATACTGTGTCAATTTCATATAGATACCTTTTATATAAAAAGTCATATAATACATCCAACTAAAAATACTTCCTTTTGTATAAGTTTTATGCTTTTTGAGAGTTCTATTTTCTATTCTTACATCAGGAACTACCAGTCCAGGCTCAAGTTGCTGATAGTCAAAACCATCTCAATTTCCTTATTTAAGAATAATAAAGACAAAAGAAAACATCAACAAAACCACCCTGGAATGGAATTTTGGAAGAGGTTTCCAAGGGTTCTGCGTTTTGTACATATAAATATTTGTGGAAAATTTTAAAACATGATGCCAATGAGAACCTTACATTTCTTTAGTGGTGGTGGTGGTGGGGGGAAGGGGTGAGTAGAGAGGAGGCAGTGCCCTTTCAGCTCAGGTTACAATTTACTACCACTGTACATAACGGAGCAGAGACTCAGCAGCAGCAGAGAGTGGGTTAAAGTGTGCCCTCCACAGAGAAGATGGCCAGAAAGGAGGTGTGTGCGCCCAGGCTGGCAGTCTCTGCACTGGGAAAGCTTCAGCCTTTAGCCCTCGGCTTTGTGCTTCTGTTTGCTGGTGAGCTCAGGCACAATACATATACATTCAGTATCTGTCAACCCAACAGGAACAATTAGCAGCTTAATGGTGGCATGTAAATGGAGAGCTATTTGCATGTAATCAATCAAATGAACCTCGGTGGGTGGGGCCAGGAGACGTCTTCCTTCCAAGCCTAGGGGTGCCCTAGACATCAGGAAAGGAAAAACATTGGGGATTAATAAGTATCCTCAGCAGATGTGTTCTCTGTGACATAAAAGCACTGTCCCTCACAGCCAACAACCACCTGTGAGCCAGAGCCTTGAAAGTTCTGGCTGAGACCAGGGAACAGATGTCCATAGCAGCAGACTTGGCTCCAAGGTCAGGCAAGCCCAGCAGTGCCATATCCAACTCAACTGCCCACTCAGAGCAAGCTCCAGACTACAGACTGCCCACCGTCTGCTGTAGGAACAAAGCCAAGCCCCGTGGTGATATGAATCCCTGGGCTCGGGGTATAATTTGGATAATTCTGCACAGAATAAAAACCTCAATGTGAGGATGTAAGGAAAACCTTCAGGCAGGCAGGGCCCAGCCTCTGCTAAATATTAGCTCTCCTGGCCTTCAGGGTGGGGCAGACACAATGAACTCTTAAAACTCCATATCGAAACTTCCATTTTTAGAATCAATACAAAACCTCTCATGTCTCCTATCAATTCCCGGAGGACGGAGGGTCTGCCAGCCTGGTGGACTTCAGCCTATTTGCAAATGCCAAATGCACAACACTGACCGGAGATGGGGCCTTCGCAAAGTTGACGTGGGCATAGAGAAGAACAGCAATGTCCTTGTGTCCTGCTTCCAGGGCTATCGAGAGCGCGGTGCTGCCGTCCTTAAGATAAGACAGAAAGAACAAGCCAGGTTGGGTTTCTCAAACTTCCAGATGGCCAAAAGTTAACAAAACACTCTCCAGCAATTGGTAAGGTTCCCCAAAGACAGCCATTGGTTTGTTCCTTCAGGAAACTTTTCTGAATCTCTAAGTGTGGGGCCTGAGGATGTGAAGATGAATGAGGCAGGCTCCACCTCAGGAAATCTCAGTCAAGAGGAGAGAGAATCTCCCCCTTCCCTTTGTCTTTGCCTCACGGCATTAGCAGGGGGGTCTGTATACTGTGGATCCTCAAAAAATGCAGGCTGCCCACGAAGAACTTGGACTCAACCATTCTGCCCACCAGAAGGGAACAGAAGGAGAAAGACAGGTAGAAACATAATTTTCTTTTTTTCTTAGAATTATAAATGATCATGGTGTGTGTTTGGAGGCCCTGCAACTTGCCAGACCATCTCTTTAACTTGACTCTTGGAGAGGGAGCCGTGACCCTACAGCCCTTAGCCACCTCGCTCTGTTTAATGCTGCAAGTAACACCTACGCGGCACCGTTCAATCTCCATGGCTTGCAGTAAGTAGAGGAGAAACACCAGATAGAAAGAACATGTAGGGATTTAGATGGATACAAAGGAGTACCAGTGCAAAGAGCAGCACAACTTATTTTCTGTCTGGTCTTGAAATAGGGACTCCCCGTTGGTCAGCAGCAGCAGGGAACAATCTGCATGTGGTTTAACCAGATGGTCCTTCCCTCCTGCACTGTGGGTGCTGGGAGCTACTTTTCTCGTGGAAGATAGAGGATGTTCTCTATGGATGAGAAGTAGGCAAGTGGCTGAGGTGGTCAGGATTTCTGGGCATTACTGTGGCTCTAAGGCTTTTTTTTTTTTTTTCCCCGCTTGAGATAGTCTCACTCTGTGCTATGGGTAGAGTGCCCTGGTATCATTGTAGCTCATAGCAAACTCAGTCTCCTGGGCTCAAGCAATCCTCCTGCCTCAGCCTCTTGAGTAGCTGGGACTACACGTACCTGCCACAATGCCTGGCTAATTTTTCCTATTTTTAGTAGAGATAGGGTCTTACTCTTGCTCAGGCTGGTCTTGAACACCTGAGCTCAAGTGGTCCACCTGTCTTGGCCTTCCAGAGTGCTGGGATTACAGGCAGTAGCCGCCGCACCCAGAAGCTCTATGGCCTATTACTATATCCACAAGCTAGTCTATGTTGAAGAGAACGTAAGTAAAAACAAACAAAACCCAAAACTCATCTAACACAAGCTGTCCTTGAGGAAAGAGAAGTTGAAAAGTCTCCTTCCCTTCAAAGGGAGCTTGAAGGGATGTGGTGCCAGCAGTTCCTATCTCGCCTGTGGAGGGAGCCGAAGCTGCGGAGAGGACTGTCAACCCTTCAGGCCACTCGAGCTCCCACTGGTTTGCTGTTTTTGCTGGTTTGGGCCCAGAAGGATCTTAAGTTTAGAGCCAAGGAGGATATTTTTTCTCTAACTTTCTGTCGTTTTGAGCTGAATAAAGCTCTGGTCCAAACCTATGCTCCACTGAGATGAACTTTCAAAAACAGAACCAACCCTCCCCATCCTCTAGACCTTAAGCTCTTTCACCACTTGAATGCTAGTTCCTGTGCCTCGTGCCTGTTGGTACTCCTCCTCTTTGGCCTGGAGACACCCCAGAAGTGTCCTCTCTCCCCAGCCAAGGGCTTACCTGGGAATATGGACGAGGAGATTAGGGGAATGGGAGAGGAGATTGGAGCGATGATGACAGAAACAGACTGAGCAGAAATGGGGAAATGTGCTTTGAAGGACAGCAGAGACACACTGGATGCTTTAGCTTGTCAAATGTCCCAAGTCATTCACTTTGATGGGCTATAGTGGATCACCTGCTATCACTTCACTTGGGTGGAAAAAGTGTTTCACTATGACTGGCGCTGGTTTCTGTCACCTAATAACCTCCATTTTTCTTTTTTTTAGACAGAGCCTCAAGTTGTCCCCCCTGGGTAGAGTACTGTGGCATCACAGCTCACAGCAACCTCCAACTCCTGGGCTCAAGCTAGTCTCCTGCCTCAGCCTCCCAAGTAGCTGAGACCACAGGCGCCTGCCACAATGCCCGGCTATTTTTTTGGTTGCAGCCGTCGTCGTTTGGCGGGCCCGGGCTGGATTTGAACCCACCATCTTAGGTGTACATGGGGCACCTTAGCCACTTGAGCCACAGGTGCCGAGCCAACCTCTGTTTTTCTAATGACTGATAATCCAGATTTCCAACTAGACCAAGGACCCTGCCTTCCCTTCATGGGAAGCCACCTACACGGAGTCTGACCTGTATGTAAGTCTGCTCACGATCAGTGTAGTAGTTCACGTACACGCCTATTACAGTACTCTGTTCCTTTTATGCATTTCAGGGTGAGGCCTGTTTATCACTCTGCATTTGGCTTCAGTTAATGGGAATATTGGTTTGCACGTAATAAGCATGCAGCCTGGGTGGTGAAGGCAGGTGGAGTGGATGGCAACACAAATCCACGAGAACAAAGGAGAGGATTTATTCTCTCTCTCTTGCCAAAGAGCACCCACGGCCCAGCCCGCAGGCCCAAGCGAGACAGCTTACGTTGTCCTCCAGGTGGCCGTTGCAACCTGGCTGGGCCAGCAGCAGCTTCACGATCTCCACATGCCCATGCTCACTGGCACACATGAGGGCTGTGGAACCCTCATCATCCTGGATGTTGACGTCAGCCCCACAGGCCAGCAGGCCCTTCACCATGTCTATCCGCCCATGACTGACCGCCAGCATGAGGGCCGTCTGCCCTGCCTACAAGAAGGAATGACAGTGGACTTCAGAAACGACATGGAGTAACTTAGGACAGGGTGGGGGCAGGCATGGAGAAACTAGCTTCTTGTGAGCCAAGTAAGATAATAAAGGACTCAATTTTCACTTTAGCCTGGAGGATCTGTCTCATCATAGTTAAGGAGCTGGGGAGTTCAGAAGGTGTATAAGGTAAGTTGTGAACACATCTGCACTGGGGACGCTCTGTGCCTGGCATGAAGACACTTCAACAGGGAGACAGAAAGCAACAGATGCTGGGCACCTATGGGGACTCCCAGTCACTTATGTGCAGACAGATTTATGCCATTTCCACACAAACTGCAAACAGAAAGGCAAGGAGGGGGGGGAGTTTCCAATGTAAAATATAAGCCTGTATTTCACGTGTGTGTTGGTCGGCAAGGGTACCAGGCAGCGCAGGACCTGGGTGGGCCAGTGAGCAAATGCACCATGGTAGGAAGCATGGTGTTGGCATCTGCAGTCAGAGCGATCACTGCAGGCCTGGGTGCTGCCCACTGGTCAGGGAGCAGGTGTGCTCACCTGACTGGCTTTGGCGTTCACATCTCCACAGGCGAAGAGTTCTTCTACAACCCGCATATCCTTCTCTGCTTCCACAGCAGCCAGGGCGGCCAGCATGATGGGGGTATAGCCGGCTTTGTTCTGGTGATCCACGTTACACACATCTGCAAAGAAAGGAGTCTCTGAGGGAGCAGCCATCTCCTGACAGCGGCTGTACACAGGGACTGACGTATGGGGTTGACAAGAGCCCAGTGAACTGATACCAGGGGTCAGAGAGTGACTTAGGAGGAAATGTGGGAGATGACTTCATGCCAAACAAAAATATTTCTCTTTTTTCTATTTATCAGGCCTGAAGCAACAGAAATGACAGTAAGTTTCTATAGCAAAGCTTGCTGCAACTGGTGGTTGAACTGCGACAGCTTGCAGGTCTGTGAGGTTGTTCTAAGTAAGGGCTGTGCTGGAGAATAAACAATGATACAGAATCTAGGCATTCGGCCGTGTTTAGGAAATCAGTGCTTTGGAGTGAAGCAGACACTGAGAGTCAGAGACGTAAGAAGGCTTTGTAAGGGCTGTGTCTGAACACTGAACATGGAGTTGTCTACTTATCCAAACACTACTGATTCTGAGAGCCTGAGTTTATGACTCTGACTCTTTTGGGGTCCCTGGACGCAGAATTCCAGCCACACAACATGTAGCACTGGATGTGTGGTCTGAGAGTGAACGTACTGTGCCTTCTAAGAAACAGCCAAGGATGGACAGAAAATGGGGAAATCAGACCTCTTCTATCCTTGTAATTCTGAAGGCGTCTTCAAGGCTAAATTATCCTTTAGGCATTTAAAAGTTCCTCCAGCAAATGTTACGAAATGGGAGAGTGTGAGACAGAAGCATTTCTGTGTGACCAAGTTACAATGTTTGGAATGTAAAGGAACAAGCAGAGAAGGTACCATGGTACCTTAAGATCCCGAACAACGGCATAGTAAGGACGCAATAGTGTTTTAGAAAAACTGTGTATTTTTATATAGAAAAGAAAAGGCTGAAAGGCTGAGTAGTGGAGAAATGTGTGGTCCATGTGCTCTTCAAGGCTCCACAGCATCTGGGCTATTGTTCTGTCCAGATGCTGAAGCATCCCAGGCTCACACTTTAGAGACTCAGAATCTCAGTCTATAATGGCAAGCAATAAATATCAAGTAAATAAAGAGGAGTGATTAACTCAAACCATCCAACAAGGAAATAAAAATCATTTAATTTGCCAAGATATTTTATCCACTCTAATTTTCCAAGGGTATATGAAATTGTTCCTTTCAAGAGTAATACTGTAATCTTGTTTCCAGCTTCCCTGGCTGTTATCTGCTTCTCTGTTGAACAATAACTTGGGCTGACATTATTACCAGCTCTGTTTAATGTCTGGAAAGTCTGAAGGGAAGGAAGCCTGAAATTCCTTCCTGTGAGATGGAAAGTTATACCCTAATACGGCCACTAAAACAGGGAACAAGGGAACTTAGAAGAGAAAAAAAGGATAGATCTGCATGGCTTTCTTCCTGCATTAAACCCAATTCCCCCAAATAGGGCAGAAAAGAACTGGACAGTGGATCAAGAGACAAGTCAGAAAAACTGGACAGTTTCACTGCATAGTCTAAGTTAGGTGTTCACATTGTATCTTCATTAATTAGACTGACCCTACTGTGAATTTTGTACCAGTCACACACTAGAAGTAAAAATATGTAGTAAGAAATAAATGAGGTGGCACCTGTAGCTCAGTGGGTAGGGGGGCGACCACATGCACCAAGGCTGGTGGGTTCAAACCCGGCCTAGGCCAGCTAAAACAATGACAACTACAACAACAACAACAAAAATAGCTGGTGTTGTGGCAGGAGCCTGTAGTCCCAGCTACTTGGGAGGCTAAGGCAATTAAGCCCAAGATGTGAGGTTGCTGTGAGCTGTGACGCCATGGCACTCTACACAGGGCAATAGCTTTAAACTCTGTCTCAAAAAAAAAAAAAAAAGAAAGAAATGAAAGTGATTTGAGGACTATGTGTATCACTGAACTGCTCCATTTGAACAAGATTCTAAAGCAAGCTCACTATTTTTCCAAAGGACCCTTCTAAATTCTACTTGCTCACTTCATGTTTAACATTCTATGATAGCAAATTCACACTATTCTCACCATTATGGTCCAGATGTTAAGAATAACACTCCCTTTGCTCTATGCCAGTTCCCCAGAGATGGTATACTGTAGTGAGAATGGGGATGATTCTACCACACAGTGGCTTTGCGTGGTCCCTATCTTGAGGTCTTCTGCAGGACCCACAGGATGGTGGTCGTGGAGCAAGGACAAGTTGAGAGGTTCCTGAGCACCACTGCTATGACTCTGGGCCTGTGAGCAGCACCCTGCCTTCTGGGAGCAGAGCAGCCACGCCTGCAGGATTCAGCTCCGGAGGGAACGTGAGTCATGTCTGTTACCAGGGATACCCCTCACTTGAATGTTGGTGGAACTGCAGCAGGAATAGCCTCAAGCCTTTCAAAACAGATCTGGAATCTGTGTCACCCAGTTTTGTGGCAACTTCAAGTCTCCCACAAATGACTCAAGAACAATATTCTTGCTATCCTTTGAGGAAAAGCCAAGAAAAGGATTTTAGGGTGGTCAGAGAATTTAGGAGCAGCTCAACTGGCTTCTTAGAGATGCATCGGAACCCAAGGGCTGTCAGAGAAAAGACGGGGGCAGCCAACCTACCAGCGTCCAAAAGCAGCTTCACAATCTCAAAGTTGGAGTGGGACACGCTGTAATGGAGGGCCGTGTTGCCATTGCCATCGGCCATGTTGATGACGTAGCGGAGGACTTCCGGGGAGATGGCCTCAAAGGCAGCTATGTAGTCCCCCACCATGGCTGGAACGGCCGACTTCTGACTGGACACGCGGAACCACTCGTGCTGGAGGGTGTTCAGACAGAACCTCTGCCAAAACACCAAGCAGCCATCAGTTCTATTTATAAACCTTTCTGGGACCTAGCCTGAAGGCCCAAGTAGCCAGGCCTTTTATAGTCAAAGTACACACAGTTACAATCTGCTCTGCTCTCAGAAACAACTAATGAGAGGCAGACCACTAAGAGAAGCTCCAAGCAGCAAACTGGGGCCCCTTCCTGGTTTTAAGCCACATTTATATTCCGATTTCTATAAAAGAGAACATACAGCACTGGGTCTGAACCAGGTTCAAATCTGGGTTCTGCTACTGCATGACCCTAGGGAAATGACTTTGACCTTGCCTCAGCTTCTTCATTTGAAAAATGGGGATAATACCTTCCTATCATAGTGTTTGTGATGAGAACAACACACTTAGGCCTGGCTCCATTTGTTACCAAGCTATTAATGTTATGTAACTATACTGGCCTCACAAATTACTTTCACAGAAATCAGGAAGGCATTAATTACCCCACACTTATTACCCTGCTTCTTTCCTACCCAGACCAACCTTGACTCCTCCACTGCCCTGCACTGGGGGCCATAAATGTGTAGCCAGCCAACTACAACCCCAATCCCAAGTACGAATGTTCGGCCATGGAAAGGGGATAAAAAGCAGGTCTGTGACTAATCTCATTACCCATCAGGATCCTCTGCCTGTGGTTATCAGCCCCACTCAGACTTCCTTAAGCTGTGGACACATGAATGTGGCACTTGTTTGCGGATGATCAAGCCAAGCGTGGCTCACATGAAGCTTCACACTGACTGGGTGTAGCTGGTGCTGGGGATGACTGCAATACCTTTTCCATGGGCCTTCTTTTTTGTGAGTTTACATTTGATTTGTTCTTTGCTTACTCTTTAGAAAAGTTTAAAAATACATCAAAGAACCACACAAAACTTTAAGTCAAAAGCATTGGTACCCAAGAAGTCCCTCTGTCTACAGAAAAGGTGGGCTTGGTACTATAAAGCGTCCATCGTTCAACGCTCCTGTTACTGATCATTCGGTTTTTAAACTATTCAATCATATTTTGGGTCACTTGGAAAGTCCTGAAAGAATGAACTTAATTTCTTTCTTTTCTTCTCCTCCGTCTTTTTACATATTCACTCTTCTATTTCTTTGATGTCATCACGCAGAAAGAAGGGAGTTTATGTCCTCTGGCCATGCTAACTCTATTACTGCTTAAATTATCAGCATCCTGATAAAACTATTTGGCCCTGGCATTGTGACACACACGTGTTTGCTACTTTTCACAGCACACCACCTTAAACACTTTTACACTGAATGAAAACTCAGTCAACAAAAAAATGTACCGGCTCGGCGCCTATAGCTCAACCGGCTAAGGCGCCAGCCACGTACACCTAAGGTGGCGGGTTCGAATCCCCAGCCCGGACCCGCCAAACAACGATGGCTGCAACCAAAAAATAGCCGGGCATTGTGGCAGGCGCCTGTGGCCCCAGCTACTTGGGAGGCAGAGGCAGGAGACTCGCTGGAGCCCAGGAATTGGAGGTTGCTGTGAGCTGTAATGCCACGGCACTCTACCCAGGGGGACAGCTTGAGGCTCTGTCTCAAAAAAGAAAAAAAAAAAAAAAAGTACCAATGACAGAGAGTGTGCAAAACACCACGCTTGGCAATTTGGGGGCTGCAGGAATGAAAGGTCCTTCCTGAAGACCACACAATCTAGCATTGTTAGAACCCTAATGGCCATAAAATTTGGGGTCCCATAGCACCAGTTTTAAATTCAGGTTAAACCTACTGGGAAATATTGATACTACGGTGACATTTCATGGTTTTACTATTGTGACCAAGGTATATCCAGGCCTTCAATTTGTACTGAAGAGTTTCACCATGTCGTTCTATGTTTCTCCTTGACCAGGATTTTTTTCTACAATCAACCCTCTGTATCCACAGGTTCTACATCTGTGATTCAACCAGCCATGGAGTGAAAACATTTGAATGAAAAAAAAAAATAAAAATAATACACATATAAAAATATAGTGCAAAAATAATATAGCATTTATGTTGTACTAGGTTTTAGAAGTATCTAGGGTATGTGTAATACTACATTAATTAATTAATTAATTTTGGAGACAAGAGTCTCACTGTGTAGACATCAATGCTCACAGCAACCTCAAACTCTTGGGGTTAAGCAATTCTCTTGCCTCAGCCTCCCAAGTAGCTAGGATTACAGGTGCCCACCACAGTGTCTGGCTATTTTAGAGACAAGGACTTGCTTTGGCTCAGGCTGGTATTGAACCTGTGAGCTCAATCAATCCATCTGCCTTGGCCTCCCAGAGTGCTGGGATTACAGGTGTGAGCCACCGCACCCAGCCCAAATACTACATTATTTTATAGTAAGGGACTTTAGCTTCTCTGGATGTTGGTATCCACAGAGGCCCTGGAACTACATTTTCTCAATGCCCTGAAGATAGAGCTATCAACCAGAGAGTTGGTCTGGCCTATGAAACACATAAAAACCTCCGTGTGTGAGTGTCACAGTTGGCAATGACATCAGATGAACCACTGCATAGAAATATTTATGTGCCCCATGTTGTGCCATCCGTGATCACTGAGAGAACCACAACCTCTTGGCTATTTGCTTCTGAATCTCTCACACTGTGAGAAGATGACAAGTGTAGTTATTTTTATGTTTAAAAATAGTGGCCGCCTGCATTCCACATCAGAATATAATACATAGTTCCATAACCAAAAGGAATGCTGAACTCATCCCAGATAGGTTTCTTTCAAAAACATACACTAACTGAAAAAAAAAAAAAAATCTGGGACGCTCCTCCCAGGACTGTGTCTGTAAACAGAAGTGGAATGTGCAGAAAGACAACTGACTGCAATTAGCCCTCCCTTCTATCTGCAAGTATATGCCTCCACCCCAGGAAAAGTACAGGGTGGGTAAAGAATGTCCAAAGCTAGGCCTCAGGGAAACACTCACAGTGGGACCTCGGAAGCGAGGCAGCACCACACTCACTCTGCCCGCTCAAGCTACAACACGTTTAGGGGCCGAGCACGAGGAGGACAGCTCAGGGGCAGGCTGCAGACCTCACTGGCAGTGGTGTCCCCCCGGCACCTGGTACAAACTGCAGACAGTGTCTTTAGGTCAGACTCACCATGTCTTTGCTGGTCAAAGCTTTGGGGTCGTTTATATTATTTTTCAATAAGTTGCATGCAGACAACATCTTTTCACTTAACTCGTACCTAAAAGAGGGGAAAAAAATAGAGAGCTCACACTCAGTTACAATAGGAAAGTCGCTTTATCAAAGCTTTATTATTCTTTAAAAGACACATTGCCCCAAGCCAGCCTAGGCAGCTGGTGATGGTGCCTGGCTGGAGGCATCCCGAGGAGTTGGAGGATTGACAGCACCGTACAGGGTCAGTACCCGCAGCCAGAGCCCATGGTCTTTCTGTAAGGGTACTTTTGGTTCCCCAGTCTGGCCTTTATGACATTGTGGCTTAACATTTGGAGAGTCTTTTGCTCCTTTTGTTCTAAGTTCTTAAATCTATTTTTACTCTTAAGGGGTTGGAGGGGTCCAAATTACCCAATGTCTGTTAGGCTGACCAGTTAAGACATACACATTTGGTGACTCAGGAAGTGTTTGCTTAACCCACAGGAAACATTAAACTGAGAAACCAGACGACATATGGTACAGAAATTATATCTTGAGCTACTAAAAAACATCCCCGTGACAAGATATTAAGCCGTTTGAAAATGTTTAGTAATACCAACGAGAAACACTTACCTTGTGTTAACACAGTTAAACTTTTATTTGCCAAATTAAAGTTTTCTGAAATGGTCTATTATACTTCACACAGTGGAAAAAACTACACTGACGGTTCCATCTTTTCCATTCTATTCTCTCCGGTTTTATGAACCCACAATCTGTATTTGCTAATAGTCTTTAAAACTTACTACATCTTTAGTTTCATGTTGCGGCCAGCCAGACTGTTTGATTTTTTTTGTCAGCTACTTTAACATTTCCTAGGTCCACTCTTGTGGTGTTCCTGAACTCTCAAGGACAACAACAGACAGACGTGTGGGTAACACGTATCACCTTTACAGTACACAGAATCTGTGGTTGAGGCCAAGCAACTGTAATGATCCTGTAATAATAATACGCCTGTCTCAAGAAAAATGGCTAATGGTAAAATCTGAAATCTTACAAAACACTGCTGATCTCCAAAAATTTCAAATACATTTTCAAATGTAAGGTGAGATGTTCCAACAATGGAAGCTTCAGTGGTGGTTCCAAATGTAAAATTAGAGAGCAAAAAGTCAAAGTTTCAGAAAACAAATGTGATTAGATATAGAGCCATTCTCTTTGTTATCATAAGAGATCCGAGAGTTGGCTCAGCGCCTATAGCTCAACCGGCTAAGGCGCCAGCCACGTACACCTAAGGTGGCGGGTTCGAATCCCCAGCCCGGACCCGCCAAACAACAATGACGGCTGCAACCAAAAAATAGCCGGGCGTTGTGGCGGGCGCCTGTGGTCCCAGCTACTTGGGAGGCGGAGGCAGGAGACTGGCTTGAGCCCAGGAATTGGAGGTTGCTGTGAGCTGTAATGCCATGGCTCTCTGCCCAGGAGGACGGCTTGAGGCTCTGTCTCAAAAAAAAAAAAAAAAAGAGATCCGAGAGTTACCACCACACTCTGCACGTGTGTTTACTAATATCGCAATCAGATACCTCTCAGGAAAAGATTAGACCAAATAGATATAACTGCACAATCTCTGAACTGGCTGACTATTGCCAAGTATATTAAACACGGGAGGGCTGGGGAGGAAATGGGAATGTACCACACCTCTCTCTGATCTCCACCTTCTCAGGTTCACATTCTTGAACCTGCATTTCATCTTCCACCCTGGCAGACTTGAAACCTTCAATATTAACTGCATGGTGCCCTTCGGCCATCCCCCGGGTGTCTTCCTCCTCCTCTTCCTCCTCCTCTTCCTCGGGAGGATATTCAATGACATCACACTCGTCATCTGACTCGGAAGAAGAGCTTTCATCTGAGCTGGAATCATCACTTGAAGTTGTTTCATACCTAGGTGGCAATTGGGATTTCAAGACATGCAAGGTGTGCCCATAAAGACCCAGTGACAGAAATTCTTATGCAGGGAAAGCTGCTGGCTCCAGAAATACTACCAGCCGGTTTAGACCGTACACTGGTAAGTTCAAAGTAATGTCTACTCAAATGCCTAGTGGTTTTAATAGATTCTGGCTTAAAAGGGACAACATGGATAGCAAACCGGTTAAATGTATTACTTGTTAAAAGAAAATTATGGCATCTCTGGGTGGCCCCTGTGGCTTAAAGGAGTAGGCTGCCAGTTCCATATACTGAAGATGGCGGGTTCAAACCCAGCCCCAGCCAAAAATAAGTGCAAAAAATAAATAAATAAATAAATAAAATTATGGCATCTCTGGCTTCATATAAATCCAGAGAAAATTTGCTTTAGGGAAACCAGATCTGCAGTTGTTCATTTTTCATTTCTTTCATTTTTCCCCCCACTCTTCCTATTTTGCCCTATTAATTCTCCCAGTGTCAAGGTGAATTTAAATAATAAGTAGTTTCTCTGCTGCATGCCCTCCAAAATGTCCTGGGCCACATCACCCAATAAAACTTTTAAGATTTAGAAAATACATACCATTATGGTATCTTGGTGGTACACATTGGTATAAATATTATCTCAGTTAACTTTGTGCTTTTGCTTTCTTGCTGATTTTATATATCATTGGTGTTGAATGTCTACTAATCAATTAATTGCTTTGATTCAATTATAGGCTTAACTATTTACTTGGCCAACTGAAGAGAACAAACAGATAAACATTCTATTTAGAAAGCAAAGAAATGGCCAGGTACGGTGCCTCACGCTTGTAATCTTAGCACTCTGGGAGGCCAAGGCAGGTAGATCTCTTGAGCTCACAATAGTTCAAGACCAGCCTGAGCAAGAGTGAGAGGCCCTGTCTCTACTAAAAATAGAAAAACTAGCTGAGTGTGGTGGTAGGCACCTATAGTCCCAGTACTTGGGAGGCTGAGGTAAGAAGGATTGCTTGAGCCCAGGAGCTTGAGGTTGCTGTGAGTTATAATGCCACAGCACTCTATCTACACAGGGTGACAGAAACTCTGCCTCAAAAAAAAAAAAAAAAGAAAAAAGAAAGGGCAAAGCAATGATGATGTGGCTAGGGCATCATTCAGGTGAAAGGCCCTACAACTTTGTGGAGAGCTAAGCCAAACCAACCACTTGAAAGGAATGGATGACTACCACGGGCCACTGAGTGATGCTCTCAGGCTTTCTGCTCATTTCTGAAGTCTAATATAGCTAAGCACAAGCCGGCCAACACAGTGCAGGCCTGCTGCATTCCTTGAAGACTAATTTTTTTTTTTTCAGATCACAGGTGAGGAGGTGTAAATCGCTCAGCTTCACCAGGTATCCTTAAGAGTGACATATCCTTAAAGGTAGCAAGAGGAGAGAAGAGAAGCCCAAATGCACCCTTCTGAGGAGGGAATCTTCCATCACTAAGATGTGGCAGCTTCCTAGACTAGGAACCTTGAAATGTGACTTACAGAAAGGAGACAGGCAGGTTAAAGTCTAGTACCACCGTCTTTCCTTACCCTCCATTAATGCCAACAAACTGAAGATTCTTTTTCGTGCCATTTGCGTCTTTGTTACCGTCTTTCTTCTTCATGATGGACTTCAGCGTACTTTCGTTATTTGTACATACTGTGGAAAAGTGAATCAAGGTGATCAAAATGAACTAACTCATACCCATACAAGTTAAATGAATATGTCATCTTTCTTCCTGTACAATTATCGTCTCACATATATAAATGTAGATCTTGGCATGTATCTATGAGAAACTTGCATAGAATTCACTGGAAAAAATGTGTGCATACTAAGAAAATAATTCAAAGTTCCATTAATAACAGTTTTCAAATGGGAAAAAAGTCAATTAGTACTTCCAGACATAATAAAACCAGTGACAACTGGCATTTGTGCCAAGATTTACTGCTTCTAAAGTGATGTCACGTCTCATTTGAGTCTCAGAAACCCCTTAGGCACTAAGATAGGAATTACTATTATTATTCTTTTTCTTCAGCTGTGATAACCTAGAGAAAACTTATGCCTGGCGGAATGTGAAAGAGGAAATGCTATTTAACGTATTTTGCAATTCACAATGCCAGATAAATTATCCTAAGGGAATTGTTTCTTTGCTACTCTTTAATTTAAAGATATTCTAGGTCTGCCTTCCAAACAACATCTTTTTTTTTTTTTTTTGAGACAGAGCCTCAAGCTGTCCCCCTTGGTAGAGTGCCATGGCATTACAGCTCATAGCAACCTCCAACTCCTGGGCTCAAGCGAGTCTCCTGCCTCCGCCTCCCAAGTAGCTGGGACCACAGGTGCCCGCCACAACGCCCGGCTATTTTTTGGTTGCAGCCGTCATTGTTGTTTGGCGGGTCTGGGCTGGGGATTCGAACCCGCCACCTTAGGTGTACGTGGCTGGCGCCTTAGCCGGTTGAGCTATAGGCTCCAAGCCATCTTTTTTTTTTTGAGACAGCACCTCAAGCTGTCGCCCTGGGTAGAGTGCTGTGGCATCACTGCTCACAGCAACCTCCAACTCTTGGGCTTAAGCAATTCTCCAGCCTCTGCCTCTCAAGTAGCTGGGACCACAGGAATCCGCCACAACACCCTACTAGTTTTTGGTTGTAGCTGTCATTATTGTTTGGCAGGCCCAGGCTGGATTCAAATCCACCAGCTCCGGTGCATGTGGCCCGGTATCCCAGCTGCTTGAGCTGTAGGTGTGGAGCCAAAAACATCATCTGTTCTCCAGGTCAATATACGTGTATAAAGTGCACTGACATTAAGTTGGAGTGCTGATGATGCCGGTCTTAGAATCCTGCTACCAATGACTGAGAAAAGTTACCATAGAAGCCAGCGGCTATTTGGTCATCTGTCAGGTTCACTGGAGACAGTGTGCATTGCTCAGTGGGGAAGGTGTCCTGGTGGTTGAGGGCCTTTCCTTCCGTCGTCCCCACCTCCTGCTCAGGCCATGATCTCTGGGTGCTTAATGGCCCTCCCGACTGCAGGCCTCCACATTTACAGGTGTATTCCACGTTACTTCCTGTCAGGAAGGAGACAGGTATAGAATGTGGGATGCTAGGACTGAACAAAATGGGCTTTAAAAAAAAGATGCAGCTCACCATGTAAAATGGGACTACTACTCAAGCCCCCTAAACTACGTCCCCACAGCCTTCTTTGACCCTTAACTTTTCCTACGGTGACCACATGTGGCCCTGCCCAGGCTTGCCACTCTAACTCCACAGCGTCCCTTCTTTCTCTCTGCCCTGGGTACTATGCTAGCCGTGGTACAGGGTCACAGGAGTAGCATCCTGATGGCCCCTCCAGCACCACTTCCTGTCTGGCATACAGCTGCAGGGCAATACTGCTACTCAGCTCTAATGCCATCATCACCCTAAAAGAAAACCTAAAACAAAATCTCACACTGGCACGGCGCCCATAACACAGTGGTTACGGCACCAGCCGCACACACCAGGGCTGGCGTGTTCGAGCCCAGCCAGAATGACAACTGCAACAACAACAAAAAAACAGATGGGTGTTGAACAGGTGGTCACCTGTAGTCCCAACTACTTGGCAGGCTGAGGCAAGAGAATCGCTTAAGCCCAAGAGTTTGAGGTTGCTGTGAGCTGTGATACCACAGCACTCTACTGAGGGTGACAGAGACTCTGTATCAAAAAAAAAAAAAAATCCCACAGCAGTAGACAACACTATACTTCTCATCCCGTCACTAGCTTTGATAATGGTAAGCGAGACATCTTGTTTGCCTGAGAGCTCCCCCACCCACACACACTGGGTTGTCTTCAAGAAAAAGCTAGAGATCTTAATTCATCTGTAAATATTTCAGTATATGCCCGTAAAAGAAAAAACTCTTTAAAAAATGAAAAACATTAAAGATAAAACTATAACATCTTTAAAAAAGGATATTTATGATCACTATATATCCAGTTGGTATTCAAATTTCTCCAGTGTTCTCCACAAAAAAGTTTTATATGGTATGTGAATCAGAATCCCAGTCAGATAATTTCCACTGGTTGTTGTGGTTTGAGTTTTTTAATCCTTAGGTTTTCTACCTTTCTACTTATTTTAAGTTTATTTTATATTTTATTATTTTAGACAAAGTCTCACTCTGTTGCCTTGGTGAGAGTGCTGTGGCATGATAGCAACCTCCAACTCCTGGGCTCAAGAGATCCTCTTGCCTCAGTCTCCTAAGTAGCTGGGACTAAAAAAATTAGCCCGGCTATTTTTTTTTTTTTTTTAATTTTTAGTACAGACAGGGTCTTACACTCTTGCTCAGATTGTCTTGAACTCCAGAGCTCAAGCAATCCCCCTGCCTTGACCTCTCAGCATGCTAGATTATAGGTGTGAGCCATCATGCCCCGTTTCTCTACCTTTCTTTTTAAACACAACTTTATAAAGTACATTTACTTTTAGGTATAATTAATATACATTTTTTAAGAGTCAAGAATCTCACTTTGTTACCCTTGGTAGAATGCCGTGGCGTCACAGCTCACAGCAACCTCCAGCTCTTGGGCTTAGGTGATTCTCTTGCCTTAGCCTCCCAAGTAGCTGGGACTACAGGGGCCTGCCACAACACCCAGCTATTTTGTTGTTGCAGTTTGGCTGGGGCTGGCCTTGGTATGTGGGGCTGGCGCCTACTCACTTGAGCCACAGGTGTCACCAATTAATATACAATTAAATGCACAGATTTTAAGTGTAAGTTGGATAACGTTTCATAAATATATATGCCTTGTGTACCTCTCTTTAATAGAGACATAAAAACATCATTTCTCAACCCAAGAACTATCCACCCCAACCACATTTCTAGATAAGTTCCTTACCAGGAGGTACTACACATTTTCTTACCACAGCTTCATTTTATAAATGAGGGCTTTTTAAAGCTTCTCCAACCAAGGCCCAACCCCTCAGGCAGGCACCTGAGGGGCCTTCATAATGAATGTAGTGGCTTTGTCTTGCCTGTGGAAATTTTTCCATTCAATTCAACTACTCCCCCACTCTATTCAGAGTGGTCTTATGACTCAATTACTCCCAACTCTGGGCTTTTCCTTCATAGGAGGTTTTAGGCCTGGAATTTCACCATCTTTCATCTGTTAAACTGTACCTATACTCTTTTCAAGGCTTGACCCAAATTCTGTTTTCTCTATAGTCTTTCTTCTATGATACCACTCCAGTTCCATCACTGTCCTATACCACTTATTGTCCACACTAAAATAAGCCCTGCCCTGCTTCTCAGTTTCATGTGTGTCTCCTCAATGAGAATGTAAACTCCTGGAGTCCCTTCAGGCTATCTGGTGTCCTCTCCAGGGCTTAGCACAGTGCTGGGTACTAACAGGCCTTTTGTAAGTGCTCATGCAATGCAGTCGAAAGTCATGAAGATTCTGTTGAGGCTAACTAGTAAAGCAAAGAACATCACCAGACATTAAATTAGATTTCATTTGTCAAATCAGATGGAATCTGTCCCCTGTATTGCCAGAACATGTTTTTTGAATGGTGCCGACACTCTGGTTGGTCCTGTATGGCCCATAAACAATTCTCTGAACTTGGTAAGCGCCCACCTACAAGGTGTCTTGGAAGACACCACGTAGGACGACACAAACACCAGCAGCAACTCTAACAAATGGCTGCTGCGCTGAGGCTAAACAAGGGGTGCAGCCCAGAAAGTCAAAAACAAAGAGGTCAATAAAGCAAGATTCAAGGGTCTTAGCCTGACCTTTAGTCTCACCTGAATTAGGGGTGGGGCTTTAAAACAGTACAGATACAATGAAGCATCTGCAGGTGGGCCAGGCATTAGCAGTTTTAACCTCTCCCCAGGTGACGGGGAACCAATGAATCACACTAACCAATACACAAAACTTGTCTACTGAAAATAAGGGTTTAGACTCCCCTCTGGTTTCAACCCATCAATTTAGATTAATGTGAATTCTTTTTTTTTTTTTTTTTTAACATGTTTGCGCTATGGGAGGGCCACTAAAGCTCAAGGCGCTCTCTGTCTCTCTTTTTTGCAGTTTTTGGCTGGGGCCAGGTTTGAACCCACCACCTCCAGTATATGGGGCTGGCGCCCTACATCTTGAGCCACAGGCACTGCCCCATGTGAATTCTTAAGGACTGAGAATTCAGAATTCACTAGTGGTTTAATTATTTAAGAATTATTAGTGGTTTAATTAACAGCCCTGGACCACTAGATGTCTATAAACAGAACAGTAAATGCTACCCAAATGACAGGAGCAATTAGGAAACACCTTCAGAATTCTGGGTTCAGAATCTACCACATGACAGTGGTTAACACAGGCACAACTGGGGAATCAGTCAACAGGGGTGTGGGCAACTGTGAAAAGTCTTTTGTCATAAACTCAAATGTATAATAGCCATAAATGCCAATAAAGCATGAGCCTCATTTTATGACATGGTCAGATTGGGGATGACTAAAAGACAGCAAGTGACGGAAATCTTAGTGTTCTGCAACAGGTTTCTAAATTTGTTTAAAAAATTTCTTCTTAAGGAATGTATTAAACGGACTTTAAAAGTTGTTCTGTTCACCTATTCTAACCATTCTGGCTTGTTAATTCATATTTTTGCTAATAATGCCAAGTGCTTTCTGCAAACACAGGTAGCTATGAACATTGTAGCCAGCTAATTAGCCATGCTGCTGTGCCAGATTTTCAGTTTGACATCTTGATTTAATTTTTGAAAAACATCTATTTGAAGGTTACTTGTCAAAAACAGGTGGGACTGAAATTTGATTCATCACAGAGTCATTCAATCATTTAGGTATTTTTCCCAGCATTTAACCAAGAATCCAAAGGGATTTGAAATAATGCTTCTATTTTTTCCTTACGAAAAAGGGCCTTCCAAACCTGAGCAAGAGCAAGATCCTAGCTCTACTAAAAAGAGAAAAATTAGCCAGTGTGGTGGCACATGCCTGTAGTCCCAGGTACTTGGGGAAGTGGATCCCTACTGAGCTGGGAGGATCCCTTGAGCCCAAGAGTTTGAGGTTGTGAGCCATGATTATGCCACTGCACTCTATGGAGGGTGACAGGGAGACAGGGAGACAGGGAGGGAGGGAAGAAGGCAGGCAGGCAGGCAGGCAGGCAGGCAGGCAGGCAGGCTCTCCAGACTTCAGGCCTACAGGCCTTCTGCTCCTTCCAGCTGTTACACTCTGCAGGGTTCCAGAAACCCTTACTTTGAGTTAGTTTAATGCTCTTGTAGTACTTTATTCATAAAGGATCACCTTCCTTTTTGGAGCATATTACTTTTTTGGGGAAAGGAGGTAGCTTTGGTGGAGGAGAAAGGACAATCTCTTTCTGTTCCTAGGCTCTCCTCTCAGAACTATGCCCAAATGCTGGTGCACAGAGTCACCAACGTAAATAGAAAACAAAGACTGGAGATGGAAACCTTAAATGGTCAGAGCTACAGGTTTAGTCACTATCAGGGCCACTCTGATATTTTCCTGGGAACATATCAGACAGCTGTCCTGACTGGATCTAAAAGTGTGTGCTCACTTAGAAATTAAAAAGCTAGAGTGGATTAAGAATCAGAGTCTCCCTCACTGCTACCCCACCCACATTTAATTACATACCATCCCAAGACTTGATCCAGAAAGCCCAGGCTGACAAGCTGCTTTAAATAAAGCTGCGGTAATAAGATGTGCTCTGTGCTCTTCCCTATCCGGCTAAGGTTCTCCTCCCTCCCCAGAACCTCCAACTTCGGAGAGTGAGAGCGCAGGCAACTGCAGCTGAATGCAGATTATCTGCCACGTGTGTATCATCTGGTGCCTGTGTCTTAGCTTCCCAACTCCATCCCACTCACACTCTTCTAGGTCCAGACAGTTTCCATCTCTTTGTTGCATACAGCTGACAAGTAAAGCACAGCTATCAACTGGCATGAACAGAGCAGACTTTAAACATCTTTCCTGAGCTATGACTGACTTGCGGCTCCAAAGAATAAACGACTGTAGGCATCTTCAAATATCACTCTCTACGTTTGTCATTTAAGACTAGACATCCCTGACCTCAAAGCCACTTTAGTTCTCAAACTCCAAAACCACCAATCAATCATGACGCTTTCACATGGACACTTTAGGATTCATTCAGAGTAAAAGTCCAGAGTAAGCTGGCATCATTTGGTTTTGTCAACAGCCCCCCAGTCTGTTAGCATTTCACTTATACCCATCCAAGGTGACAAAGCAAGAGTTTAAAAGAGTACAAGATTTTCACACAAGTATTAACTGAAGGGCTCACAAAGGTGGAAGACAGACTTTACATCTTTTGAAAAGATTTTCCAGAGGGCAACATAAACTAGATCTATAATTTCAAGCTTTCTGAGGGTTAGTGATCCCTTTGGGAATCAAGTGAAAATTTAGGCGCTTTCTTTACAAAAAGCACATGAAGTGTTGCTCTAGGGTCATTTATTTCAACATTTCCCTGAAAAAGGACCTGGCTGTGCCTATTGAGTGGTGGTAGGGAACCCATGAATTTTAGGTATAAAGTTCCCCAGCTGAATCAGATGGGTGGTCTGGAGAAGAGTGACTTTTATAGAATAATCATCGGGACTCTGGGAGGAAAACCCAGTTCAACCCTGTCATTTGACACAAGAGGCCATGGAATCCCAGTCTTCCTCTCTAAAATGACAATGCAGTTTACCTGCGCAGGCAATATCAGAGGTCAGCTCTCTTGCCTTCAGGCTAGTAGGCCTTCTGCTCCTTCCAGCTGTTACACTCTACAGGATTCCAGAAACCCTTACTTTGAGTTATTATAACGCTCTGTAGTGTTATTATTATTATTATTTTTTTTGGTACCAGGATAATTAAATGGTATAGCATTTGAACTAGGAGAAAACTAACTAGAAATGGTATTTTGTAACAACTTTATTTCCTTGCTTTTTTGTTTTGGCTCTGACCTACCTACAAACTCACTTTCACAGTTGTAGGGATAACTTCAAGTTCATGGACTTTTTAACAAACTCAAGATAACTAAGAGAGCAAATATGGAAACTGATTTTTAAAAGCGGTTGAGCATGAGAGATTTTCTATAAATCATGTGGCAGGCAGTTAGATTCCACTGTTACAGTTTTGTTTACATTTGTTCAGAGACAGTTGTCTGGAATTTCTCTCTCCTCTCTTGCTCTAGAAGGAAAAAAAGAAAAAAGAGCTGCCCCTCTCCATCCCAACTCTCCAAACCAAAACAATCCAGTTGATTTATAGGAATAATAAACATTTTTCCCCCAAGATGTTTTTTGTTATAAAAAAACTTACTTCCTCTTAACTTTTTAATCCCATGAAAGAAAATATTAAATACATTAAACTTACACTACCAGGAATTAAAAATACACTTCATGGAACACCTTTAGTCACCATCAGATCTTAGTGCCATCAAAACTAAGACACTGTCTCTCAAATCCTGGAAAAATGTCTGTGACTTTTAAGGTGAAAATACATATAAGCAGACTATGTATGAGTCAAACTTTATTATAAAAAAGTATGTTTCTAAAATACAGTTCTGCATACATGCACACCCGTACATACCAAGCACACAGAGGCTACCGTAGGGACACACAGGGAGGCGTTTATTCTTACTGTATGTTCTTCTTAACTGTTAATTTGTTATGAGAGCATATTCCAGATGTAATTAAGAAAACGCACAGGGGTGTTAGGCATTTTAAGGCTGCTAAAAAATAGTGCTTTTTTGTATACTAAAAAGTGATACCATCATCAAATCTTCAACCCTAGGAAAAGTGAACAACATGGTTCGGCCATTAACACACTGTTTTGAACTCTGACACTGATTCTGAACAACGGTGGACTGAAAATTTCTGGCAGGTATTTTGTTTCTCATTTTTGTCCATACATTATTTTGATAAAATTTTTAGTTAAAGAGGCATAAAAATTGGAGGGGAGAGAACAATAAAGATAAAAATTTAGATCAAAAACAAAAGGCCATTTGTACAATTTTCATTTGGCAATTTGTTCTATAGCCAGACTGCCATTTCTGGAAGGACTCAGTGACAGGAGCAGCCAGCTTTTACTGGGCACTGATCATGAGTGCTGCGGACTCCTCCAAATGCTGTACTCTACTGACTCACTGACTCTTCCTCACAACCCAGAAAGGGAACAGAGACAACTTGCTCTAGCGGCAGTCAAAGAATCTGAATTAAGACTGGCTTCCGAGCCCCAAATGAACCACTTCTTATGAGTACAGTATTAGGTTCAGAGGCAAGCAATAATTTATATGCTCTTTGTTAAGTGTCAAACCCAAGTTGGCTCTTTGCAAATGTCAAACCCAATTGGGGACTGAGTTTGAAATGAGCACCTTGCTATATTCCTTTTAGTACAGAAATGCATGCTGGACTGTAGGCAACCTTCCAGCAGGCATGGAGCACATGGAAAGCTCAGAGCACCGTCCTACACCCTCACTCCTCATAGCTTCCGGGTGCTGAGAATCAAACTTAGTTTTCAGTCCATCTAACAAAATATCAGATAATAAAAATTGAATGCTCTGGGTTCATTTCTTAACCTGGTTCTTCCTTCTTAGGACTTTAAAGCAAAACGGTTAAACTACAATGTGCTGTGAATTACAGAATTAAAGTTGTTCTTATGTGCTCTGAGGAGGGTTGCCACTATGATTAAATAAGTGCTACCAAAAATATTTATTCTTTCACTCACGAAGGCTGTAGGACTCCTGTGTTTTGGCTGGTTAATTAGGTGCTGGTTTGCAGGGTCGGACCTAAACAGTGATGTGTGGAATGTCAGCATGACTGGAAATAGACCAAAAACCACTGTAACGCGGCCAGACCAAACTTGCTCCCCTGTCTCCACACTCAGAGGGTCAGGCAAACTACGCCAATGTTACAGCTGAATATTTTTGGCAAGAATGTGAAATAAAAACCCTGGTTTGGGGAGGCGGGAGGAAGGCTGGAGGAAAAATGCTTTTATAATGGATGATCCACTGTGTCATTTGTGTCTGGAGCTATTTAAGAATTTTATTTTGACTTCATCTGACATCATGATTTTTAAAAAGGATGTGGAAGCAGACATGGTATTAATTACCTCAGACTTCACTTCAGTCCACTTATTTTAATCCTGTTTATTCTAAAATGACTCCCCTGTACATTTATTGAAACCCTTGTATTCTAAAATACAAAAGCCCACAAAGCAGCTGTCCTGTTCACTTTTTTAGCTTCCAAAACAAACTGTCTGTCCCACAGCACAGATAGATACAATAAACTAACAGTAATCCAGGTTGGGAAGTGGAAACCTAGGAATATATAAAAATAATCTATTTCTGGGCGGCGCCTGTGACTCAAGGAGTAAGGTGCCAGACCCAAATGCCAGAGGTGGTGGGTTCAAACCCAGCCCTGGCCAAAAATTTCAGTTCATTGCCTTCTTAGGTTATAAATGGAAAAAAGAAAGACTGAAATCTTTGTGGATGGCACACTTTCACATCAAATTAATTTAATGCAAACCCTTCTCCAGGTCACACTGGTTCAGAAGGACTGGAGAGCCAGGAACGTAAGCCCAGGGCTGTGGCCCCAGACCCAAGATAATACCCTATGAGACACTGTGCAGCTGCTAACAAGGGAATTCACTTTAGTAGGCTGACAGGGAAATACCATGTCATAAAACAGTCCAGGGTAATTCTCAATTAGTAGCTTCAATCGGAAGAAAAGCAGGAGTGACCAGAAATTCCCATGAACAAGGGAAAGAGTGAGAAAGACAGAAATGTAAGCCCTTATCAAATGAACAGTGGAAAAGATTCCCTTCTCTCGGAGCTCTTGCTCGAGGGTCCCTGGTCAGACAGGCTTTCCCTGACTACCTTATCTCAAGTAACCCCTCCCCCTAACCACTGTCACTTGCGACTCCCATAACTGGAGTTATTTCTTCATCATATTTATCACCTGCTACCATATTATAGGTCTCTTGCTCTGTGCTCTGACTGGAATGGAAGCATATGGGGACAGGGACTCTGGGTTTGCTCACTGCACTATCCTCAGAGCCTATTCTTCAAACTGAGTAGGAATTCATTAAGATGATGATTTTGAGAGACAGAGTCTTACTATGCTGGCTAGGCTGGCCTTGAATTCCTGGGCTCAAGTGATATTCCTCCCTCAGCCCCCTAAATAGCTGGCTTTTTTTGTTGTTGTTGTTGTTTTTAATTGAGACAGAGCCTCAAGCTGTCCCCCTGGGTAGAGTGCTGTGGCATCACAGCTCATAGCAACCTCCAACTCCTAGGTTCAAGCAAGTCTCTTGCCTCAGCCTCCCAAGTAGCTGGGACCACAGGCGCCTGCCACAACGCCCGGCTATTTTTTGGTTGCAGCCATCATTAGTGTTTGGCGGGCCTGGGCTGGATTCGAACCCGCCACCTTAGGTGTATGTGGCTGGCACCTTAGCCACTTGAGCCACAGGCACCGAGCCAACAGCTGGCTTTAAAGTGTGTGTGCAGTTCAAATTCAATAATTATTTGCTCAATTAATAAATGAGGTAATGGAGTGTCTCTCCCCTCATAAAAATTTTAACTGAAAACATTTTATACTAGTGTTCCTAATTGATCATATACTGGTAACTATGGGTACAAACAGCACAGGATATTTTTTTTTTAGGCAGTTCTATATAAAAGTAAGTAAATATCTAGAAGACAGGGAATAAGGCATCATATCAAAGTAGGTGACCCAGAAGACAGCCTCTAGGCCAGTGGTTCTCAACCTTCCTAATGCTGCGGCCCTTTAATATGGTTCCTGTGGGTTGTGACCCACAGGTTGAGAACCGCATCTCTACGCTAACCAACACTAGTTTACTTTTCTTTTAACCTTAGTCCTCAGCCAGAGGCCAGTGAAGCTACCAGATAATGAAAAGCAACAGAGTTGCTTATGGATTTTGATCCTTGGTTTTCTTTCTACAAATTACCAATTAAAGTTTTCTCCAAAAAATGGTTCCATCAGCTATAAATAAATGAATGAATGAATCCTTACTTCCTGTAAAGACATTCTTCCCCATCTTCCCTCCTTTCTAGTTCCCAGGGGGCCACTTACCTGTGATTTTACCTAGATTGGTTTTCTGGAAGTCAGGGTTCCTCAGCTCTTCAGCACTTGCAGACTTCATGACGGAATTGATGGATGACAAGGTACTAATGAGCTGTGAATTGAGGGAGCCAATCTGGGAGTGGGGCTCCCCAAAAGCTTCTGCCAGTTCACTATAGTTCTCAGCCAGCAGCGTTTGCTGTTCTGCCAGCAGCTTCTGGATCCGTTCAATGTAGTGATCCAAACCAGTCATCATCCCAGATGGAGGCTGGGGCTGGAGGTTCTCAAGGAGCTCCCCTACAGGCTCGTCCCCAACACCCACACTCCTCCTGCTGGCCACTAGCCCCACAGCCAACTGCGGGGGCCCACAAGCTATGGTCCTCATTTTCACACCAACCAGATAGTTGTCGTTAATATTGATCTGCCCCACGCCCGATTCTTTGGTCTTCACAGCCGATGGCCTATCAAACCCAGAACTGCCAGAAAGCAATGTCCCCACACCAATGGACCGCATCTTGGTGGAGGAGTTGACATCCTTGACACGGCCTTCTCCTATGGCCACTGTCCGCATCTCCACAGCCTGGGTGCTGGTCTGCTTGTCCGAAGTGCTTAGGGAAGTGTTTGTACAGGATTCTACGAGGGTGGCCGTCTCGGTGTTGGTGGACTGGTTCACCTGTTCCAGAACCATGCTAGTGTGCTGGTCAGTGGTATGAGGCACTGCCATGACAGCAGCTTCCAGCTGGCCAACAGCCTCAGTACTCACACTCCGGGAGGTATACTCCTTTGGAGAGCAGACAGTCACGTCAACAGAACAGTCTCCACAACCAATAGATCGCACTTCTTTGAGGTTCAAGTTTGTCTTGAGGAGTGTCAGGTCGTTCACAGACTCCTCTGTGTTACTGCCTGTTTCACAGACACTGACTTCCATGCCTACACTCTTGTCACACGAGTCCACAGACCTCCCAGTACATCGGTCATGCATTTCTACTCTCTCCTTAACAATCCACCAATTCATGGGCAGCTCGGGCCCCGAGACTTTCTCCTTACACTCAGGCTGGCAGGAGATGCCTACACTATTTGTTTGCACAGAGGTCCCGACACATGTGTCCACCACATCCACGTGACTGCCCACCATTTGGTCTCGGGTCTGCACCACTGCCTCTACCATCTTGCTGAAAACAAGCGGCTGGGCCACCATGGCTTTGTCAACTTTTTTCCTCGACCCTGCAGCCTGCAGTTCTTGTTTTAGTTTAGTCATTTCCCAGTCATGGGTGGTTTCTTTCAGCTGTACTTCCAGGCGGTAGATCTTTTCCTTTAAGGCTTCGATGGTCTGCTGTTGCAGCTCAATTTCTTTATCAGCTTCAGTGGTCACTCCAAGCATGGCCTCTGTCACAGTGATACCACAATTCCTCATTTCGATGACTGTCCCCACGGCTGCATCCTTATAGGACCTTGAGCTTCTGTGGTACACAACAACGTCATTCATATTCTCCTCAGCACCCACAGCCACTGACCGACACTCTCCATTCTCCCTCAGCTCCAAGGAGGCCTCACAGCTGCTGTCCTGGATCTTCTGCTCCAGGGCCTGCATGTCTGCCGTGAGCTGCCGGAACTCCTTTATCCTCTGCGTGCTCTGCTCCACGCTCTCCATCTCTTCCTCCTCGTAGTCAATGTATAATTCTCCACCACTTCTCCGGGCCCGGGAGAGCTGCTCCAGCTGGGAGGCATTCCCTGCACTGTAAGACCGCTTCCTCATACCACAGGCATCATTCTGGGATACAGCCCTTTGGTTTTTCAGCTGGGAGGCCAACTGCCTTTTCTCCTCTTGCAAGACTGAGATCTTCACTTGGAGCACAGGGATGGTTCGCACCTGCTCCTCAAGCTCCTTCAGGCGTTTCAGGGCAATGGCCATCTGCTCACGGATGTGTTGCAGGTGCATGGGGCTCACATTGGTCACTGGGGTGGAGACCCCTGAGCTCAGGGGACTGTGGCGGATGGAGCTCCCCATGGAGGAAGTGGTAGCAATAGCTGGGGCATAGCCACCATAATCCCCATTGCCTTGGTATCCATTCTGAACCTGGTGCATGGCAGGATTATGGTTTCCAGAACCCATAAAGGAAGGGAGGGAGCTTGTGGAGCCCATGCCTCCGAAACTGGCCAGCCTGGGCCTTCTGAACTCACCCGGTGCCATCTGCATGGTGACTCTCTCCTGTTCGAGTCTTCTCCTGGTCTCCATCAGTGTCTTGGTGACATGAAGGTTGTGCTTGGGGAGTTGTGGTGAGGGAGGGGGAAGCTGTCGATTTTCTGGGATGGTAAGAAAAGGGGGTGAGGTCTCCAGAGGGGCAGGTAGTCTTGATATTGGAGTTGATGTTACTTGGCTTCTGGCTAGGAGGAAGTTAGGACACTGCTTGTTGTCATCGCTGTTGGAGGATGAGAGGGATTCAGTGGAAGTCCATACACCAGGCGTGGCCCTGGGTTCTGGGCATGGCACAGATGGCTTCCGTCTCTTCTGGATGTTCAGTTTCTTGATGGTGTTTCCCTTTTGTATGTCATCCACGTATTTGAGGAAATCTAAGTCTAGTTGATAACCATAGGGTGTCTCCACAAAATAAGGGTCTTTCTGTTCTTTGTCATGGTCTCCATTCAGAACATCATCTGCTTTTACTAAGACAAAGAGAAGAGAATGTTATAACGGTACGTAATACGCAAAATGGTAAAAATGAACATCTGCATATGCTGCAGTGCAGCTAGGCACTATGGTATTAAGAAGTAACAGACCGGCTTGGCGCCTGTGGCTCAAGTGGTTAAGGCACCAGCCACATACACCTGAGGTGGCGGGTTCGAATCCCCAGCCCGGGCCCGCCAAACAACAATGATGGCTGCAACCAAAAA